TCTAAGTTGGAAGAGACGTCTAAGATGACCGAGTCCAACCTCTGACCTAACACTAACCAGTCCTCCACTAAACCATATCCCTAAGCTCTACATCTAAACGTCTTTTAAAGACCTCCAGGGATGGTGACTCCACCACTTCCCTGGGCAGCCTGTTCCAATGTATAACATCCCTTTCAGTAAAGAAGTTTTTCCTAAGATCCAACCTAAAACTCCCCTGGCACAACTTTAGCCCATTCCCCCTCGTCCTGTCACCAGGCACGTGAGAGAACAGACCAACCCCCACCTCGCTACAGCCTCCTTTAAGGTACCTGTAGAGAGCAATAAGGTCGCCCCTGAGCCTCCTCTTCTCCAGGCTGAACAAGCCCAGCTCTCTCAGCCGCTCCTCGTAGGACTTGTTCTCCAGGCCCCTCACCAGCTTCGTCGCCCTTCTTTGGACCCGCTCAAGCACCTCGATGTCCTTCTTGTAGTGAGGGGCCCAAAACTGAACACAGTACTCGAGGTGCGGCCTCACCAGAGCTGAGTACAGGGGGACGATCACCTCCCTAGCCCTGCTGGCCACACTGCTTCTTACACAAGCCAGGATGCTGTTGGCCTTCTTGGCCACCTGAGCACACTGCTGGCTCATATTCAGCCCACTAAACCTTGCATTTAATAAGATTAAATGTAACATTTAGAAGTATAATTGTATCACTCTGTAGAAATAAAAAGGTATTTTTCACATATTCAGAAAGCAAAATCTGGGTTTCAGCTAGAAAAAATAATCTGTCTGAGATGAGAGGGACGGGATAAGCCAGGTACTGGGACTGCCTGGGAATGGCGCTCAGGCTTCCTGCCCAGCAGGGCCCTCTATCCAGTCTGCATGAGCTCTGTGTCTCTCCTGTGACCTTTTCTTTGGCACGTCCAGACTTCTCTTGGCCCACTGTGGGATATCACCATTCTTGTATTTTCATCGTGGGTATTAGACAGGCTTACCTAGAAAAAAATATTTGTCAGCTTTACAAATGCACTCTACAGGCGCTCTGCAGCACAGCCTGAGTGCAGTCTGCATCCATCTACCTGCTCCTGGTTTCCAGGCTGTCGCTTTTCAGCATTTTCTGTTTCTGCTCCTGGTTCCCTGCTCGTGCTGCTGTGTGCATCGTGAGGAGCCCCTGCAGCCCTGCGTGCACAGCTCCTCCTGCAGGGCCGCCCTGGGAGCCAGGGCTCTACCTCCTCTTGCTCCCTGTCCCCTAAATATAGAGCCTCCCTCTCCACACCTATCTCTGAAGCGTTCGTTCCTCTCCATCCATCAGCCTCAGCCCCTGATGCCTCCTTGACGGCTCCATTAAACACACACTCCACAGCAGCTATATTTAGAAGTCATGAAGAGAACAAGCCTTTGGGCTGCGGACAGCCCATAAATCCAGCTCCCTTCACGAAATCACCATTTTTCTATCTGGAATGAGATCGATAGGGATGTTTGCAGATGAGGTACACGTGTCTGTGCATGCGTGGATGGGAGGCAGGAGATGAAGGAAGAGGAGGCACAGTACGGTAGAGAAAGGGGAAGGAGAAAGGACTAAAACGAAGGTGCACGGGGACAGGGGCAGTGGGGCTTTCTGAGGGCCCTCGTGAGCAGAAATGAGAGGCCAGAGGTGAGGGGAAACCTGCCTGGAGTGGGGCTTGTGCTGCAGCAGCGTGTTTTTTACCCCACGGGCACCGAAAGGGACTGCAGATGTCTCTGTGCTGAGACCCTCTGCGTACCTCGAGGCAGAGGTGGATGTGCTCACCTCAGCTGGCGTGGTCTGCTCAGCTTGCCCTGTTCCAGTACCTCCACAAGGGCCTGCTCACCTCTCTCTCTTCACTACCCCCTTCCCACCTTTATTTCATCCATGTCAACTTGTTACTGTGGGTGCCAACACCCTCACAGGCACGTTGGCCGTAGGTGTCATCCTGGTGCTTTCGGGGGATCTTAGGTCTCCGCAGCGCTACCCCACTCCCTCTGTGTGGGATCCCAGTGGCGCTGCTGGTGTGCAGGTGGAGCTGGGGCTGCTGCTGGGGGCTGCTCCCTGCTGCTGGGGCCTTCTCCCTGCTGCTGGGGGCTGCTCCCCGCTGCTGGGGGCTGCTCCCTGCTGTGGTGCTTCCCTGGCAGCATGTCGGCCCTGGCCGGGGCTCCTGGTGCCACCTTCCCCTCGCGTGCTTGTACTGCTGTGGTAGAGTTCGGGCATCCCCACTCTGGAGCTGGGAGCTGACAGGTGAGGAGGATTTGGAGCAAGGTGCGAAGCTGCCTCAGGTGACTTCCAAGCGCAGGTGCGGGGCTGTCTCCTTCCCAGCCGCCCGGTGGCTGCGCTGCGCTCTGCGCCCCCCAGCCCCCAGCCCCTGTCGCTGTGACTAACTGCCCGCTTCTCTGGCACAGCCGCTCCCGGGACCGCGCCGACGGGGCTCGGGGGAAGGTGGCCAGCCCGGAGGACCCGCGGGGCGCCCCCCCGCCGGCCAGGTAACGCCGCCGGGCCGCGGACGGGGCTGGGGGGGCCCCGGCGGCGCCGTGGAGCGCGGGCGGCCCCTGCCGGCGGCAGCCCCGAGCCGCGACCCCCCCTGCACGGCGCGGAGCGGGGGCACGGACACCTGGGATGGAAGAGAAATCCGCGATCACCTCGTGCAAGCTCTGACCTGACACTGACAATCCGACACTAAATCACATCACTGAAAAATACGGCACGGCGCGGTACGGAGCGGCACGGCGCGGTACGTGTGCTTGTCCCTGCCACAGCGCTGCTCCCTCACGTACACAGCGAAGCTTGTGCAAAAATAGGAACTGGAAACGCGTGAGACGAAGCCGGAGCAAACACTGCTGAAAAAGTTTTTGTCGACGCTGCAAAAAGCACGTTATTGCCACGCCACACTGGCTTGTGGTGCACACCCCGCTTGGGAGGCCGCTGAGGCGTGCCTGGAGGCGTCTGGTGTGGTGGGGAGGAAAGCCGGGACCATGGCACAGGGCGGTACCTGGCAGGGACGTGATAAGGCTGCTCTTCTGAGAAAAATCTAAAAAAAATAAAAAGAGGACATGAGAAAGAAAAATAAATAAATAAATAAATAAAGCTATGTTTGGCAAATTAATATCTAAACTTTGGTGAAGGCAGTTGTTCGTTTAATGCTGAGGGCGAGGTTCCCCCAGAGCAGGATATCTTTGTCGAAGTACGTGCCTGTTTCACACAGAAGCCTCTTTGGGAGAGGAGATGCAAAGCCAAATTTCCAGACACAGCCTCCAGTAGCGGAGGACAGCCCGCGCCTGCTGGGGAGCTGCGAGGGTGCAGAGAAGGCGTGCTGGCTGTGGCACAGCAGCTGCTGATGCATCAGGGGCTGTCACCTGTCCCCACGGAGGGCAGTTGGCGCTGGGACCCCTGTAGCAGCATTTCCATTTACCAGCTTAGGACAGCAGTGATGCTTCCTTCTGATCGCAAGACCAGAGTGAAAGGTTTGAAAGTGCATCCTGTCCTGAGTTTAAAACAAGCTTCCTTAGGTTGGCAGCGTTGCAATGACAGTAAGAACTCCTGTCCCTCTACTTTTGTAGTCCCTTCTTGCTGGCTTTTGTCATTTTGAATTCCAAAGTAGGTGAAAGCAAACATTTATTTTGTGTTGTTTCCACTTTGGGTGCAAACAGCGTGTTTTTCTACTGAAGAGAAAAGTGAGGCTCATCTGTGTTTTACTCTTAATCTCTTCTTCCCCCTTCATTCCCCTTCTGACTGCCCTACTCAGCCTGCTAAAAGACATTCCCTGACATTCCCTATCTACATCAGGTCATCAGCCTGCCTGATGTTGTAGCCAGTAATGCAGTGAGCACCACCAGGTGCTTCAAAAGAAAGCAGTGACAAAGGCAAATGGAGTGACCTGATGGTTTGGTGTCCTGCCACCATCCTAGTGTAGCCGTGTATGAGTTGGTTCAATGTGATGTTCTCAGTCTGGTTAGAGCAAGGCTTCAATTGCTCCCTGCAGCTTAAGGCTTGCATATTAATTTTGGGTCATGCAAATAAATTCATTTTTGGTAGTGTGATGCAAATTTCTTCTGGGTTAGGAAAATGATAACTGGGAATGTCCAGCTTAAGTTCTTACACAGTTAAATGAAACACTTAAGTTCTCCCTGTCACATTTCAGCCGGTGGCTGCCAGCCATGTTACAATGGCTGCAGTGGCATCCGTGTCCACTCGCTATGACTCAAGCTGCCTTTCATCAGCGCCCAGCAGCCTGGAGGCCCAAGCATCTCTTCTCTGGTTGGCTTTGGAGTTCTCCGGGAGCCTGTGGGCTCCTGTGTTTGCCCTGAAGTGTCAGGTCAGGCTGGCAGCTTCTCTGGCTTTTTCCACAGTTCTGAGGCAAGTAGACTCTGGAATTGTTACACCCGAAAGGGGATATTTGGTCCATGTGTGGCCTGAAGAGCCCGAAGCACTGACTTGGCCAAAGAGCTTCTGGGGCGGTGCTGCTGGTTCACGCATGAGTGGCAACAGAAGCCTCTCTGGGTTCCTGGCTTTCCTTCCTCGTACCTCCTGTGCACCCGGAGATCTCAGTGACCACCTGATGAGATGGAGGCTCACTGGAGTTGTTACCAATTTCACTGTGGGAACTGCATCCACATCGCTTGAGATGCATAAAATTCAAGTGGCCAAACAGCAAAGGGACAAAATCTGGCTTGGGACATGGAGTATGTCTTTGCCTTACTGGGGCTGGTTCTCCTCTTTGGCTCTACTTTGGAGTTTGGTGAGATTTGATGCTTCAGTGTGGTATGTTAAACTCTCTGGGTTCAAAAGTCCAGGTGAAGAGATCTTATATTCACTGATGCTGTTTGTGTGCATATGGGACTGTACACGAGTATGCATGGGACTGATCACATAGACACGTCTGCACACAGATTATTGTGTTTATTAATTAATGTTTGCATGAAAGCAAGGTTCACTGTATACACGTAGAGAAAACAGAGGCAATGATATGTGTTATTTTTCTCTCATCTTTGTGATGTGTCTTTTCTCTTGTAGAAACCAGAGAAGACAGGACAAAGCGTCTCTTCCGACATTATACTGTGGGCTCTTACGACAATTTCACCTCTCACAGGTAAGCATCAGCATCTTTGCTTTGTGATCATAAGGAGATTCATTTCCATGCAAAGAGCATCTCCTTTTTCTGACTAAGCAGTACGTGTCATGTTAATTTTATGGGAAGGAAACTTTCTGGCTGTTTCAGTCAATTCATTTGTAGTCTAAACTGTAAGTCCTAGATGAGGCTTGCTTGAATAAAATGTTGAAACTGAACAGGGCAGTCTGGCTTGTGTCTTAGTTTAGAAACAAGTGTCCAGGAGGTTTTGTGGTGTGCTCCAGGAATTGAAGGAAGTGGATTGGATGCAGATGGAGGATTATGGCTCTTATGAAGGAGAAGAGGATGCTGTTGTGCAGGCGGTGACATGCAGACTGCTGTCACTTGAGCCTGTTGGCAGTACTGAATGTGCTCTCTGGACTACAGGGATGTTCACCCAGGGTGTTCCAGTATGTGGCACTCACAGATTGTTAGGGGTTGGACGGGACCTTGATCTAGTCCATTCGAGTGTACTCACTTTGACAGGGAGACTGACATTTGGGAAAACGGTCAGGTTTGATTCTGAAGTAAGCTTGGACTCTATCATGAAAGTAGGGGTGATGCTGCTCTTTTGTATGTGGTTTGAGCGTGTGTGGCTGGTGGACATGTTCGCAGGAGACTGAGCTGTAGGAGTGGCTCTACTTTTTGGATTCAAGAGAGCGCTTTTGACACAGGGTTTGTGTGTAATGTGCTTGAGGGGTAAATGTAGTTACTCTGTGGGATGCACTCCCTACTTGCAGTCAGGCTTCATTGCTATTTCAAGCTGTTGGTCATTAAAGTAATTGGATGGGCATTATTGCTTATGAAATAAGCATGAATGACGTGAAAGGAGCAAATTGTGATAATTCATTATGCAAAATTAAGTTATCCTGAAGTCTTCGAGTTTACCAGCAAAGCAGTGAATGTATTCTTTGTTCTGAGCTACTTATCCTAAATCTGTCTCCATGGCTCTCAACACTTTTTTGCTCAAAGTTATGGGTGTAACTTGTTTGGCTTTTCAAAATTCCTGTGACATGCTTCTTCAGAGCTGTTTATATTCTTAACTGATCATGGGACAAAAGTGAAAATGCTGCTATGACTCAGAAAACAGCGAAGAATAAGAATGGAGGGGGAAAAACATTCAATTTCCATCATAGCCAAATGCTACACAGAACTCAGAGAGTCTGTGCTGGGGTCACTGGTTGCACTAGGTCTTGAAAAGGGCAGGAAATAGGTCAAAATTTGCAGATTATTCAAAATTCTTAAGGAAGACAAGGGCAGATGGATGAGATTGCATCAAGCTGGGTCAATAAACAGTGGGATAATAGAATAAATTTATTTTGCAACGTGAAAGATAGCACACATCCAAAGAAACACTGCAAGGTACTCTTGCCTATTAAAGATTCTTCATGTCTTTGTAATTGCTTAGGAATAAAAGATCTGACATCACTGTGATACCACAGTGAAAACATCTTCTTTAATACCAAGACATTCACAAAAAGGCAATCGAGTAGGTCAGAAAATACAATTAAAGCTATTGTGTAGGAGGGCAATAGGAGAAGGCTCACCTTTGGATTTCCAGGGGAACCTGCTCTCAAGTCCATGCTGTTGAACCTGCTTGGTTCCTTTCCACATCAGTTTATGCATGGTGAGCTAACAAAATTAGTTAACACTTCTAAGGTTGTTAGGGCTGTAAAAAAAATGGAGTTTAGCTGCAGAACAATCACACAGTACTGAAAATAGTGACACTGGGTACTGAGCAGCTAAACTCCAATGCAGAAGATAAAAGGTAATGCATATAAGCAAAAAAGCAGTAGTAGTATTCTGTGTTCAGTGGAGGTGTTGGACTGACTTCTCCTGCTCAGGAACAAGATTTGGGGATTACTTCAATTCCAGGACAAACCTGGAAAAGGAAATTTATTTTTTGGAGTTGTTAAGAAAGGAAAACAGAACAAAATGGAAAACATGAATATTAGTGTCTGTATAACTCTGCACTGTGCAAGTATCTTGAAACCAGCATCCAGTTTTGATCTTTCAGATCAAACGTAGTTGTCGAAAAGCTGTCAGGGAAAACTAACAGGTGCTCAAAATTGTGAAACGTCTTCTGTAAGGGTGAGACTGAATAGACTGAAACACTCATGGTTGGAAGATGTTGGTGAAGAAGGGTCTTGGTGAAAGTTCATAAATAAGTGATATGGAAAAGGTGAACCAGAGGTAGTTGATCTCCGTCTTTTCAGTGCAAGAACATGAGGTACTGAATGAATTAAGTACATGGAATGCTAAAAGTGAAAAAAAGGAGGAGGTTCTTCATGTAACATACAATTAAACCGTGCAACTCCTTGCTAAGTGACATTCAGAGTGCTAAAAATTGACACAGGTTCAGAAAGCAGCGGGACAAATCAGAGGAAGAAAAATCCATTGCAGGCTTCTGAATACGAAGAGATCGGCTCTGACTCAGGAATTCAGTTAGTCATGCAGCAGCAGAGGTTAGGGACACGTAGTACAGCAGCACTGCTCTACAGTTACTCTGTTGTAATTTCCTCACCATGTTCCTATGGTTAGCTGGTGCTAGGAAGTCAGGAGGATTCCTGGCCTGCCCCTTGATGGCTGCTGTGAGCTAGGGGCACAGCAGGCTTTTCTCTGAAGCCCAAGGTGAAGTTCCCCAGAGAGCAGATTTCAAGGCATTGCTGCCTTCTTGATGTCCTATGTGGCTGCTGAAATGGCTTTGTGGGCAGGCACCTGGCCAATAGTAGTCCTGTTCCTTGGCTCTGAACTCTTCACTCTGATAATAGAGGAAGCCTGGGCATCTGACCTGATTGTCTCAAGAGCAGACTCTTCAGAGATCTGTGTGACAGAATTCCATGGGATGCCATCCTGGGGGGAGGAGAGGGTCCAAGAGAGCTCACTGATGCTCCAGGATCACCTCCTCTGAGCTCAGGAATGGTCCATCAGGAGAAATAGGAAAATAGATGGGTCAACAGGAGGCCTGTGTGGATGAACAAGGAGATCCTCACTAAACTCAGACAGAAGAAGGATGTGTCCAAGGGGAAGAAGCAGGGAGAAGTGACGTGGGGGGATCTGGCTGATGATGTTGCAAGGTGCTGTCCTGACAGGAGAGGTGCTCCAGCCCTCTGATCGTCCTCATGGTAATGAAGGTGACTGAGAGTAGTCAGCCTGGATTTGTGAAGGGGAAATCCTGCTTTACCAAGCTGATGACTTTCTGCAATGAGGTGACTGTCTTACTGGATGTAGGAAGAGCAGAGGATGTTGTTTATCTTGACTTGAGCAGGCTTTTGATACTTTCTTCCATAACATCCTCAAAGATGCACTGTCAAATGTATTTCCATAACTAGATAGCAAGGTGGATTTGACAACTGCGTGAATGACTGAGTCCAAAGGGTTGTGATCAGTGGTACAAAGTCCAGCTGGAGGCCAGTCACTACTGAAATACCCCAGAGGTTGATACTGGGGTCAATAGTGTTCAACATCATAAATACAGTGGGTGATGGGGCAGAGTGCACCCTCAGCACCTTTGCAGATGATGCCAAACTGGCTGCTATACCAGAGGGTCATGCTGCCATCCAGAGGGACATGGACAGGTGGAGAGATGAGCTGACAAGAACCTAATGCAGTTTGGCCAAGGGAAATGCAAAGTCCTGCATCCGGAGAAAAACAACCCCAGGCACCGGGATATGCTGGGGGGCACCCAGCTGGAAAACAGCTCTGCAGAAAAGGTCCTGGGCGTCCTGGTGGGCACTGAGCTAAACAGGGGCCAGCAGTTCCCTGCGTGAAGTAAACCAAAAGCTGTACTTAGAGAAAGGTGCTCACCTTGTAGTCTGTGGGCTGTAGCTTGCAGCAGAGTGATCTCCTCTGGCTCTGGGCCTGTTCCTGTTTTCCCTCTGACCTGAGGGAAATCCGCAGAAATGTTTGTAGGAAGGTGCAGTGCAGTGGAGGGAGGGTACTGGGAAGGACAGCAGACTGGAATGGTCTTGCACGAGAGAATAAGTAGCTGTCCCATCTGTCTTATAACTTGGCATCCAGGGACCCTCATGAAATGAGGGCAAAATGGGGACAAAATGGTGGCAGTTTTTCTCATGGTGGCAGTTTTGCCCATAGTGGTCCTGTTACTCCAGAATCAACTGGGGTGGAGGGGAGTAAGTCAGGTAATTGCATATGTGTATGTCTTTAACTGCACACCTTAGACAAGATAATGCATCTTTCCATCTTAAAGTTCCCTGGGACTGCGTGTTAGGGGATACAAAGCCTCTCTGGACCTGTCCCCAGTTATTTATGGCTTCTTGCAGATGATAGTCCCACTGGTCTTGGCACTCCCAGGCAGTCAGTGCGTGCAAAGTACGGGTATGCTGGACTGCTTTGCCAAAGTGTGACCTGGGTGTGCTGGGATCACAGTAACAATGCTAAGCCTGGATGTGGAAACTGGGGGTTTTGACAGATTTTGGTTGTTTAAATTGAAACAGATTGGATGATTTTAGCTGTTGTCCCATAACACAGTGCATAGTCATGCAACATAGAAGCATGAAGATGGCCCCTCTGGAGCATGGCAAAGACCCTTCAGGCCAGTATTGTGTGTTGCCCCGTGGCCAGTGGCAGTGCTTGGTGCAGCAATGAGTACAGAATAAGCACATTTCAGTAACTCCCCAAAATACTATTCCTGCCTGCAGCAGTTTACTGTTCAGAGTCTTCCTGTGCCAGAGGCAGTGTCCTTGTATTTAATAGCCTTTAATGGATCGTTATTCCATCAATTTGCCTCGTGACATGTAACTCGAGTGCTTTCACTCTCTCTCTTGAAATGGAGAAAGGGACGGGATTGCCTTTGGTGGAGACGGTGAGACAGAGGTGGTGCTGAGCGGTGCGGTGCATGCGTCTGCTGCTCCTGCTGTGTCAAAATACTTGCAGCACGCTGATAGGAAATCAGAAAGAAGTTTGTTAAAGCATATAAGCTTTGTTCACTGAAAGCAGAAACAAAACATACCCTCGCCATT